GCATAATCACTGACTGATTCGGCTTTGGATCTTTGGCTTGTAATCCTAATGCTTGTCGTCTTGTATATAAGAAAACAGTGAATTGTTGTTTGCTCGAAAAAATTGATGCATAGTAAGTCCAACCTCTGGAACCATTCGTGCAACTATATAATGGTGAGAATTTTTGTTTCACTGAATAAAATCTTTATCTGGATACTACTTTTAACTATCTCTCTATTATAATTTTTTTTTAAATTTCAATGAGCTCTATAATTTGAACAACAAAAGCTTATTTACTCGCATAAGAGAATCACTGATACACAAATGCTTTTGGTGATATTCAAAATCATAACACAAAACACAATGAGAAATTTAACACATTTAAGAAATGGAGAAAACATACTTGAGGGCTCGCGGATATCGCCATGGACATTTTCAATCGAGGGTTCGTCAGGAGATTGGGACTCATGTTCTTGAACAATAAATTCTAAATCGGAAAAAAAAAGCAAAAAATTCACTAAAAAGCTTCACCACTTCCAAAACCGCCTAAAAACTTCCTAATGATTTTTTTCCAAACAGCAATTCTGATTCGTTCTTGTAAGGTCTAGATTGATTAGAGTATACACATAAGTTAATCAATAGGAAAAAAAAGTGTTACTGTCGATGCAAATTCAATTATGTCATATAATCACAACACTTGATCATAGCGGATAAATAAATCTAGAAAGACAAGGAAAGACCAACTGTCGTATTCTAAAGACGAAAATACAATTCAAAATATATAACAAATAAAACCAATCGAATAAGAACATGCAAATCACATAAGAAACTATAGATTGAGATCTTAATCATTGGCATTCACGTATCTTGAAGCTAGATTGACGAAACCATCAAATAATTTTCCTGATCAATTATCCAAGGATTAGTAATCTTAACAAAAACAAAACAAGAGAAGAAATATAAAGAGCAAAATAAAATCAGAAGTAAGCATTTAAGAATACACCTTGAAAGAGAGAGACGTATGAGCGATTTAGGTTTTGTGAGAGAGAGTTGATGATGAATCAGAGAAAGACGACGTATCAGTTTCGTCGCAAGGTTTTCTGAAACGTACATAATTTTTTACAATAATGGCATATGGGTCTTGTTTGATTTTTTAAAAAATCCCACTATAATTTCTCAGTCTAAAAACATTAAAAAAATGATGACAGGTGGCTGCAAAACCGAGAAAGAGAAACCAATTTAAATCAAGCCTTGAGAGCTAAATTGTGATCGGTCTTATTTAAATGGGTTATTGCTGACATGGATTTTTTTGCCCCCCTCACAAATGCTTATGTGGATGCATGAGAAGGGAGAAAAATTGATTTTATTGTATAAGATATTGTTAAAAAAAGTTTAATAGAAACAACAATAACATAATGCTTCATAACACATTTATAGGATAGACTGATTTGCTAATTTTCCTCCACTTTGTTTTAGTCTTGTCAGAGTTTTCTTGTAGTTTTCAATTCTTGTAAATAATGTCATTTTTCTCTAAGAAAATTCTTTTAATAGAAACAACAATAATAGAATGTTATAATCGAACACTTGCCGGTTTGTGTGGTAGGCGAAGAGATGAACTAAATGCGTCCCAGTGTGATAATAATGTAAAAGCTCAGAGTTAATTACATATTAATGTGAGGCTGAGGCGTTACAGTGTTGAGATCGTGGTTTGCGTTTCCTAAGTTCAAGCGATAAGTAGATGGAAGAGGGAATGAAGAAGAAGCAAAGACCGAAAATATTTTTGGACCTTTCAATAAGATTACAAAATCAGTCCAGCCCAAGAAAATATACAACCGGTTCAAACCGTGATTTAATTAAGACAACCGGATAAATACATGATGAAGTCTGAAGAGTGTCTTGGTTTAATGTTGGGCCTTTAATTATTGTAAAAAAAAAACAGCAAAGTCCAACATACTATAGAACATACCAATACGGAATTGAAAAAGAAAACCGGACGGGACGCGATTGAATTAAGATTGAATGCTTGGGTTAACTGCTGACGTGGCTTTTTTTGCCCCACTCTATGATGCTGAGTTGGACACCCTAAGAAGGGAGAAAACTCAACTTTATTGTATAAGATTTGACTAAAGATGTAAGTGTAGAAATAATCTAAAGATTTGTTTAAAAATTGTGAAATGGTCTTCTTGGTCGAAAGATGGACTTATTTGTGGTGTTTCAATAATTAGAAGTCTTCACTTTGACTGCTCTTTTGGCAGAGTTTGAATCATTCCAAATGCAATATCCATACTTTTTTGCAAGAATCATTTCACAAATAAGCCCAAAAAAGAACACCATAGTTTGACCTAGTCATAGACACAAAACAAAAAGCCAACAAATTCTTTCAACAAAAAACGTTTCATTCCATTGATAATGAAGTGTCAAGAATTTGATTCTGAAGACAACTGAGAACAACAAAATAAACACTATGCTTTGGAATTACTTCCCATGTGTGTAAAAAAAGAAAGGTTACAACAAATTACATGACACAAAATTTCAAAATCTTTACTAAACAACATCAATGAGAGAATTTGCTAAACGAGAGGAGGAGATCTACTCAGCCGCAACGTTATCATTGTTTCCTCCATTGCCAGAATCTGGCAGAGTTTCAAGATCAGTACGCACATCTTTTACTTCTTGTGGAAGACTGTTCTCAGAATGTTCTTGATCATTCTCAGTCACCACCACTTCTGTCTCACCATTCTTGTTGCTTTCCTCTTTTTCTGACTCTGTTTGTGTAGTTTCTGAAGTATCCTCTGGTTGCTTCTGTTCAGTCTCAGTACTGCCATTTTCTTTGCTAGATTCACTTGTGTCTTCCTCAGTTTTCTTCTCGGTTTCCTCAACTTGTTCCTTCTTCTCACTCTCAGTAATGTCATTTCCCTGTGAATTATTGTTGGATGAAGACTCTTCTTTCTCCTTTGTCTCCACTTCTTTCTCCTTTGTCTCCACTACTTTCTCTTTAGATTCCTCTTGAGACGAAAGCTCTTCTTTCTCCTTTGTCTCAGTTTCCTCTTGGGAAGAAGATTCTTCTTTCAACTTTGTCTCCACTTCTTTCTCCTTTGTCTCCTCTTGAGAGGAAGACTCTTCTTTCGCCTTTGTCTCAGTTTCCTTATCTTTCGTTTCCTCTTGGGAAGAAGACTCTTCCTCTTTCACAATTTTCTCGGGTTCCTTGTCTTCGCTCTTCTCTTGCAACAAAGACTCTTCTTTCTCCTTGGTCTTGGTTTCCTTGTCTTTAGATTCCTCTTGAGACGAAGATTTTTCTTTCTCCTTTGTCTCAGTTCCACCATCTTTAGTTTCCTCCTGAGAGGAAGACTCTTCTTTAATCTTTGCCTCAGTTTCTCCATCTTTAGTTTCCTCTTGAGAGGAAGAATTTTCTTTCTCCTTTGTCGCGGTTTCTCCACCTTTAGTTTCCTCTTGAGAGGAAGATTCTTCTTTCTCCTTTGTCTCGGTTTCTCCACCTTTAGTTTCCTCTTGAGAGGAAGATTCTTCTTTTTCCTTTGTCTCGGTTTCGCCACCTTTTGTTTCCTCTTGAGATGAAGACTCTTCTTTAATCTTTGTTTCAGTTTTTCCATCTTTAGTTTCCTCTTGAGAGGAAGAATCTTCTTTCTCCTTTGTCTCAGTTTCTTTGTCTTTACTTTCTTCTTGAGAGGAAGACTCTTCTTTGTCTTTATTTTCTTCTTGAGAGGAAGACTCTTCTTTCTCCTTCGTCTCAGTTTCTCCATCTTTAGATTCCTCCTGAGACAAAGACTCTTCTTTCTCTTTTGTCTCGGTTTCCTTGTCATTACTTTCTTCTTGGGATGAGACTTCAGAAGATTCTACTTTCTCTCTCTCATCACTCTTTACAGCAGACTCTGACTCATCATTCCCAGAAGATTCTTTTGTAGTCCCTGTTGCATTAGATGGTGACTCCTTAGACTCAACCAAGTCACCATTAGAATCATTGAACCCTTCCTTCTCCACCCTCTCATTCTTCTCCATAGACTCACCTTCAGACTTTATTTCACTAGAGGAATCCGAATCATTACCAGTGTTCTTCTCATCACTGCTGCTTCCCTCATTATCAGTCGACAAAACACTCTTAATAACAGTGTCTTCCGATGATTCTCCGGTCTTGTCTTCCTCCACCTTCTTACTAGTCTTCTCATCTGTCTCATGAACCACCTCACTAGAAGCATCATCTCCTTTGTAATTGTTCTCTCTTGCTTCTTCACTATCCTTCTTCTCTTTCTCATCAGTCACTTCCTCTATTATCGTTTTCTCTCCATTCTCACTCTCTTCTGTACCACTCTTCTCTTTATTCTCCTCACTCTCTTCTGTACCACCATTGTCTTTCTTCTCCTCAACCTCACTCTGTTTTGTATTGACATTGTCTTTCTTCTCCTCAATCTCACTCTCTTCTGTATTGACATTATCTTTCTTCTCCTCAGTTTCACTCTCTTCTGCATTGACATTTTCTTTCTTCTCTTCAATCTCACTCTCCTTGCTTTCTTCTGTACCACCATTTTCATTGTCATTCTTAGCCTCAACCTCGCTGCTTTCTTCATTGTTCCCTTCACTCTCCTTGCCCTTATTCTCTTCTACAACCTCAGTGCTTTCTTCATTGTTGGATGAATCATCCTTCCCTGTTCCTTCACTTTCCTTGTCCTTATTCTCTTCTACAACCTCAGTGCTCTCTTCATTGGTGGACGTATCATCGTTCCTGGTTCCTTCACTTTCCTTCTCTACAACCTCATCATCTCTTGACTCATTCTCTTTATCATTAAAACTCTCAGTTTCTTCCTCAACGACAACACCCGGGTTAAGATCTTTCCTCCCCAGCTTCACCATCCCTTTCTCACCAACAACAGCCTTTGAGGTTTGTTCAAACAAAGCTTTCTTCTCATGAGAATGCTTCACTTGATAAAGCAGCCATATCCCAACACCAAGCAACAGAGTCAGCTGTATACAATGCTTCACCTTGAACCCCTTTGATCTCTGTCCTCTTCTTGGTGATGATCTAAACATCTCTTCTTCTTTTCTTTTTTTTTTCAATCAAACGAACCTAATAATCAAAACCCAAATCTCAGATCTCTAGCCAAATCATAATACACATCATAAATCTCTATACTTTTAACCACATGATTGGATCTTAAGTGAATGTATAAATCATTGGAACAAATCTAAAGCTATTACACGAGATGTCATCAACCCGTTACACTAAATAAGAAGGAATGAGCATAAAAATAGAAACTTTACCTGAAAATGCAATTCAAGAATGTGAAAAGTATCGTTTTATTTTTTTCTGGAAATGGGGGAAATTTTTCAGGCAAAAGTAAAGATTTTTATTTTTAGATCTAACGAAAGAATGAGAAAGCTGTGAGATTGCCACTAAAATCGTGCGTCCCTTCAATTTGCAGAAAAGGAAAATAATTATTAATTTTTTTAAAAAGTGTTTAATTATGGCAGCTTCCCACTTGGGACTTTAATTAAGGAGGAGGGGAAGGACATGTGAATTTGCTGGTTTCAACTTTCAACGTCGTCTCCTTGTTTCTGCTTTCTCACTTAGACACCGACATTTTCTAACGACGTCGTATCTTTCTTGGGCTCATCAAACTTATTAGGTTGACTATGGCCTGGTGATATGTTTGAGTCTTTTGGCCCATTGGGTTTATTTATAAGTTGATGGTCTCAGTTAGCCTTGTCAACGATTTTCTTTTTATTTTTGGTTCTTTTCTTCTCGTGTAATTTTCACCTCAACTCAGCTCATACTAACTAGGGCTGGCATTTTATTCATTAAATTCGATTCGTTATTCGTTTCGATTCGATCCGAAAATTCTGGATATCCGTAAACTTTCGAATCAAAGCAAATACTAAAAATCAATATCCGTTAAAATCGAAACAAATCACAAATATTAAAATTTTGAGAAGCGGATATCCGATCCGATCCAGAAATATATATATATATATATTGATTATATTTAAATTTTAAATGTATAAAGTTATATAATTATTATTCTAACACATGATTTTGAACAATTCTATTCATATTATTACTTATATAAATGTATTACATAAAAAAAAAGAAAAAAAATTATGACAATTATATTTTTTTTTAACTTCTGTGTTATTATAATTCCAACTTAAACTTCAAAAATTACAAAATATGTAAATTCACTAGTTTTTTAATTTTTATTTTATATATCATACAAAAAGTATTTTTGCAAAGCAAAATTATATCAAAATTTTAAGATTATTTGTATTAATCATAATGGATAAGATATCCGTAAATATTCGTAAATATCCGCAAATATCTATTTATTTTCCGGATATCCGTTTTTTCGGATATCCGTATTTTCTGAAGCAAAGCAAATACCAAAATTAGATATTCGTAACATTCGAAGCAAATCATAAATACCTTAGAAAATCCAGATATCCGATCCGCGCTCACCCCTAATACTAACGTACTAGTATTATGAGTTATCTAAGCTGAACTTATCAATTATATCTATTTGTATTCTTCTCTTCTTCCACTAACCAATACTAAGGGGTGGGCACAAATCAAATGATATCATAATTTTCAGTTTTTGTGATTTGTTTTGTAGTTTACAGATGTTTAGTTTTCTGATTTGTGAATATATATGAATATTTCATCCACTTTGTTCAATACAAGTAAATATAAAAAATTAAGAAATTTTGCTTTCAAAAAGATTTTTTACAAATTATAAAATAAAAAGTAACAGTTAGTGAAACTATATTATTCTATTTTTTGAAAATGAACAATGAGTGAAATTTACGTTCCATTAATATTAAAATTTAATCTTTTTTTATAAAACACAAAATTTAAGAAAACATTGTCATTTTATAATGATTTATATTTCTTTCTTATTTTTAAACCCTTATAAGTAATTTTTTGAATACAACTAATAAAATTATATGTTTAAATAATAATTATATAAACTTATATCTTTTTAAAAACTAAAAGCTGTATATTTTAAACTCTATATTTATTGTAAATATATTTTATTTGTATAAAATTCGGAACAACAGATATAGGTTGAGGTTGACTATGAAAATTTTAGTATTTGAGATTTTCTTGTTCTAGATAATTACGGACCTCTAAATTTTCGGACCGAAACGAAACTAGTAAAGAATAACAGAAAATTTAAGAGATAAAATGCCCATCCCTACCAATACTTTCATTGGACCTTCAGCCTGAGACCTTACAACAAAAAGCTCCAATACATGGAAGAAACTAAGGAGATTGATAACATTCACATCTCCTAAAATTACAGCCCATCACTGGCAAACTTAAGAACAAAGAGGGAAAACTACAGACATTCTCAGACCATGACTACAAACACTTTATAAAGAAACTGAGACAAGGCAGTTTGGATGTCAAAGACCTAAGAACAAGAATGAAAAGTTCAAACATAAATTAAGAACATGGTATAGGACCTTGCTTAACCCGTCCAAGAAATGCTTTACCAGAGAAGCTGATATTTTATCTTCAAAATTGGGAATGTACCTTAAATTTAAACCCTTCTCACTTCTCAGTTTTCACTATCTCCCTAAATTTGGGGAAGAAAATGAAAACTGAGAAGTGAAAACTGAGAAGTGAGAAGGGTCTAAATGTAAGGTTCATTCCCAATTTTGGAAACAAATGTTAAGAAGAAAAAGTCATCAAAAAGTGTATATCTTCTTTTATTGAAAAGCTCACAGTTTTATGTTTACTTTTGGCTCAACATTGTGTGCGATTATTTGATAGAGTTAGACTTCTTAGAGCATCTCCAATGTAAAACTCCATTTTTTCCTCCAAAATGGAGTAAAAGAGAATATGGAATAAAAATGCTCCAACCCCACTCCATTTTCCATTCCATAATGGAGTGATGAACAAACAAAAAACAGATTACTCCACTTATGGAATAAACTCTATTATGGAGTAGAATATGGAGTAGGGTTGGAGTGTTTTCTACTTCATATTCCCTTTTACTCCATTTTAGAGTAAAAAATGGAGTTGGGTTGGAGATACCCTTAGAGCATATGCATTGAAGGCTTATGAGAGAGTTCACACGTAAATCAAAAAAAAAAATATAATAAATTTGGTGAATCCATGTCTTGCAGGATCATTGAGGTGAACTCGGATCAACACTATTTCGCGGATCCCACACCACATGGTGGCCCGCGATTGATCTACTTTTTTTTATAAGTCAAACGAAAAAATAATAAAAAAAAAGAAATTTTTTTTTTGAATTTTTCCTCTAGATTTACTAATGTACATGCTCTTAAAAGAGAAAATGTTTTACTCTTGTTACTTATCTTCATTCACCACATGAAAAAAAGTAAATACTCTTTTTACTCCATTTTTATATTCTTTATATTTGAGAGTAATCATTTTTTCTTAAAGTATATATATATATATATATATTTTTTTTTTTTTATTTACTCATTTATTCTAATTTACTATATCTTTTTCACATCATTACTCTCCATATTGTCTTCAGCTACACCCATTTCTACTGAGACAGGCTTGAAATGTCACTATCTTATCAGTATTCAAAAGTGATAGGATGGTTGCTGCACCCACCACGTGACTCACAAAATGGTTGCTCCATCCTTCACAATGAACCGACAAGTGTATTAGCAAAACCAAAACGGTATTTTTTACTTTTTTTTTTTTTGTAATTAGCAAAACGCTATCTATATATAGATAGATCCCTTTTATTCCGTAGATGACTCAATATATAGAAGTAATAAGAAAATGAGTTTCAAACTAACGCTTCTGCTTCTACTTCTACTTGTCTTGAGTCATCATGCTGATTCTGGCTCTATCGTCAAGTTTCTTCCGGGTTTTGAAGGCCCTCTTCCCTTCGAGCTTGAAACCGGGTTTGTAAAATCTTTCTTTTTACCAATGCAAAAAATTTGTGTTTTGAGTTTGAATTAGTAATTAGCCATTCTATGTACAAAAGGTACATCGGTATTGGTGAGGAAGAGGAAGTACAAATGTTCTACTACTTCATCAAATCTGAGAGGAATCCAAAAGAAGACCCTCTTCTTATATGGTTAAATGGAGGACCTGGATGCTCTTCTCTCGAAGGCCTTCTTTTTGAGAATGGTAAATCTACAAAATCTCTTCCTCTTTAAGCATAATTTTTAACGGTTTATTTAAAAGTTGTAACTACGAAACCGAAAACAGGACCTGTGGCTTTGAAGTTCGAGGTTTACAATGGAAGTCTCGTTTCTTTGGTCTCTACTACATATTCATGGACACAGGTAGCGGAAAGTTTGTTCATATGTAGATAAACCCAATGATATCTATTATTCTTGGTCCTTATAATCTTGATCATATTTTCAGGTGGCGAATATAATATACTTGGATCAGCCTGTTGGAGCTGGCTTCTCCTACTCAAGAACTCCACTGGGTAAAACTAGTGACACAAATGAAGCCAAAATGATCCATCAGTTTCTTCAAAAGGTAATATGGGTTAAGTGTCTTTTTAAGTTTTAGTGCTTTATTTATTTTTTTGGAACACAAACTTTAGTGCATCTTAAAGCTCTTATATGTGTTGTAATTCTTGTGGTGTAAAGTTATCCGACTTTGGCGAGATGTAGGCTGTTTGTATTTGATTGCATCATTTAGATGTGATATCTAAATATATTGATTTGCTTCTGTAGCAGCCGAATGCCCAAAGTGTTTTTTTTTTTTTTACTTTTGCAGTGGCTAAGCAAGCATCCTCAGTTTTCATCCAACCCATTTTACGTTACTGGAGATTCTTATTCTGGGAAAACTATTCCGGCACTCGTTCAAGAAATCTCAAAAGGTGTGTTTGTTTTAATCAAATCAATTGATCTGATATTCTCTCTTTTAAACAATATTGGCACTATAATGCAGGAAATTATATATGTTGCAAGCCTCCAATAAATCTACAGGTCATTAATATTTAGTTGGTTCAAATTATTCTGTACATTTTTGTAACACTATGATTCACAGATATATATATATATATATATATATTTTTGGCAAAACCAGGGGTATGTGCTCGGAAACCCAGTAACATATCCTGAATTCGAAGAAAATTATCGTATTCCATTTTCTCATGGAATGGCATTAATCTCTGATGAACTCTACGAGGTGTGAAATATATGCAATGCTTAACTTGTTCTTTATTTTTATTTTTCTATCTACAAACGATGGTTGACAAAAAAAAATCTACAAGATGTACATTAATTATATTTTTAACAGTCATTGAAGAGAAATTGCAAAGGAAATTATGGAAATGTTGATCAACGTAACAGAATGTGTTTGACACATGTTGAAGAGTACCACAAGGTACACACTCTGAACTTTGTCAATGTTTTGCTTAGTACTAAGTAGTAAATACCAACATTAACTCTAAATCTATTTTTTTTCTTCAGAGCACTGACAAAATAAATACACAACATATATTGTTACCAGATTGCGATAACAAAAGTCATACAGAAAAAACATCTCCTGATTGCTATGTAAGTATTGTCTCTTTCCTCTATCAAATGACCATATAAAAGGGTTGGGAAAAATATCTGATTTTATCTGTCTCCCTCCAATTCGATCCACCCAATCTTAGTGAATAAAGCTTACAAAAACAACATTACTAAAATTAAATATCCACTTAAAATGGAGTAATTAAGAATGAGCATACGACTATGTAAGAATAAGCACGGATAAAATATCCAGATTTTTGGAGGTTTCGTGTTCCAATCCCGTTTAGTCAAAAAAATCAATCCCGTAATTACTCGAACCAAATATCCATAAAGCTTTATATTTTTGACTATATAGTATATTCGATCCATAAAAATAAAATAAATAAAAAATCCAAAATAATATAAAAGACTAATTTTATTACAAAAATAAAAAATGTAATTACTTTTTAAAAATTTTAATAACTAATATAGTATAATAAATAAATATATTGTAAAACTTACATATAATATAATATTAACATACTTTATATAGATAAATTTTAAAATAAGGAATCAGATCAGATATTCGTTCATAAAAATATTAGTATCTGTGATTTTTTTCGTTTTTTATAAATATTACATATGAGTATTTGTTTTGCTTCGTAGAGTTATAGATATTTGAATTTTTGGTTCGAATAAAATGAATAAAGAAAATAATTAAAATTTACAGATGCTTTATGCAGTACTATTACTATGTATATAGTTATTATAATAGATGATTTTCATTTAAAATAAAATTCAGTTATAACATAAGTAATGACTCAAGCCACTGACATTAGGCATGAGCGCAAACCGGGTACTTGGCTTTTTCGCCCTACTGCTACTTGACTTGCTTTGTACAAGTATTATAATTTTTGGCTTGTACTTGTACTTGTTTCGATCAAGTACTTAGTTCATCGAGTACTTGCTTATATTTTGAATACTTGTATGTTACTTGATAATACTTGATACTTGTTTACCTAGATTTAAAACTTTAAAATTAACTGTACCAAAACATATAGGTTCAGTTAATGTGGAATAAATACTTTTATTTTTCATATATTTATTATTTTATTTAGTCTGTTCGAGTAATTTAATTTAATGAGTGTATATGTTGCATTTGTAATAATCATAAATTATATAAATATCTAAAAAATTAATATATGTTTATTATTTTTATTACATTATAAGTAGTAAAACAAGTATTTTAAAGGTAGTACATATTTTAAAAAATTAATAAACAAGTAATAAAACAAGTATTAAAGTAATAAAAAAATCATGATATTTGATACTTGACTTGTACTTGAAAGTAATATGATTTGCATATTTAGTACTTGTCTTGACAATGCCAAATATTTAATTTTTCAACCGAGTACGAATCAAATAGCAAGTACAAATCGCGTAATAAGTATTGGTGCCCAGCCCTAACTGACATATGGGGAAAAATGATCTTTATGATATTTTTGAAGAAACATTGAGACATGGTTGCTTTGGCAGTATTATCTGTATTATCTCATTGAATGCTGGGCCAACAACAACAGAGTTCGCGAAGCTCTTCATGTTAAAAAGGTGTATGCCAACTTTGGTGTAAGATTATTGATGATTTAAAGAAAGTTAATAAAATCTAAAAATTTTACGATCTGTGAATACAGGGGACTAAGGGACACTGGCAGCGATGTAACTGGACTATTCCATACGATAGCGACATTATTAGCAGCGTACCATATCATATGAATAACAGCATCAGCGGATACCGGTCTCTTATTTATAGGTTTGAATTAACAACATTTTTTTGGACAACAAAACCAAATCAAAATTGAAAACTAGAATACACATCAATACAAACTAAATTATAAATTGTTTTTGTTTGGTTTAGTTTTTACAAAACCGAAGATCAAATAAACAATATCGTAAACTGGATTATCTACTCTGACCTACAAGACTCAAGAGATTATTTTTTTTGTGGTTTATGATGAACAGTGGGGATCATGACATTACAATGCCTTTCCAAGGAACTCAAGCCTGGATCAAATCTTTGAATTACTCCATCATTGATGAATGGAGGCCTTGGATGATAAAAACTGAAATTGCTGGGTATATATATTCTTCTGTTTGAATTCCTCTTGTTCATTTACTTCTCTTATATAACTCACTTAAAAACACTGTTGCCTTCTGATTTTGACAGATACACAAGAACTTATTCGAATAAGATGACATATGCTACTATCAAAGCAAGTTTTCTTGTTTCAACTTAACATTTTACCATCATTGCATAATTTTTCATTACAGTGTTTATTAATCTTTTTGAGCGTTTTGATTAAAGGGAGGTGGACACACGGCAGAATATAAACCAAATGAGACATTTATCATGTTCAAAAGGTGGATCAGTGGCCATCCTTTGTAATAGAGACTCATAGAACTGGAAGCGTAATTTATTGGAATGTTATATATTTTTGCTGTTTATATGTGGAGGTTAATCAATAAGGGAATCAGCTGGTATTTCATCTTCCTCTATAATTTTTACATTTTTGTGTGATTTCATGTACTCCAGATTCTTATTGTAGATCATTATTGATTGTTTTTCAATGGTATACCTACAATTGATTGTTCATTAATGTATAAAACATCACTTTTGTTTAATGTTTATGTCAATTCAGTTTTCTAACTTCTACTTCTTTGCAATGTTGAGAAGTATAGTTGTATAACATTAGCAGTTTTGCTAAAGTTTCAGATGCTGCAAAAGCTGATTGGTCTATCTATGTTAACTAAAGGTTACTTCTTGAATAGAAAAACACTTGTTTGTGTGCTTCTTCTGATCGATGCAAGTGTTCCTCCTTCACATGTCGCAGCTAAGTAACTAATGAGATCAATAAAGAGTGCGAAAAAAGATTCATAAAGACAAATGTTTTGTAAAGTAACAGTAACAAGTGTTCTCTCTTTGTATACATACATCTTTCTAACGATATATTTAAAGAATTTCAACCAAAGAAAGCTTTGTCGATTTTTGTTTGTGCTACCATCTTGAAAGATTTTCAGGACTGAGAAGAGGAAAAGCTTCCCAAAAACGAGATGAGGAAGGTGACAGATCAAACGCCAATGGGTTCTCTTGAGCTGGTGTTTCATGGAAAATCTTGAGTGGCTGCTTAACCTCAACTAGACCGTGTTGCACCTTCAACAGTGGCTTAGTTTCAACTTGACCCACCTGATTTTTCTCATGATCTTGTGGTGCACCAGTTAGCCTCTGAACCAGCTCCCTGAAGTTCACAGGCTCGACTCGGTAAACTTTAGGATGCATCCGTTGAAGTGAAGCTGTTACGGGTCTTTTCCATGGCTTTGCTGGTTGCTTTCGTATCGAATGGAGTGAAGAGTTGTAGTTTTCAGATGATCTAAGGTAATCCTGAGAGAAACATGGCTGTGAAGTAGCTTCCATGGCAAATTAAAAATAGCTTTTGAACTTTCTGTGTTTACAACACAAAGATTTGATCAGAATTTGAAGCCAAGAGTTTGTTATGATCTTGATGGCTTGTGTGTCTACATGTATATATATATGTGTGTGTGCGCGTTCTATATATGTCAACGTTAAGCGTGGGTCAAGCGTTTTCTGATCTTCTTTTGCGGCTTATTCGGATTTGACTTTTAGGGAATAATAAAATAGTGCCAGGGAATTGAATTTTCAACGTGGGTGTGCTCAATATTTGTTCTTTAATTTAAATGTTAGGTGGGAAAGCAATGTCAATAACCTTTGGCTTTGACATGTGTTTTATTCAAGATAAGCATGTGTGTTATGAATCATATGACGTTTAGTTGTCATTTATATGACGGCGCAAAATCATTCATCATAACAGATTGTTTAAAAAAAAATCCGACTGCAAATTCAATTTAGTTTAAATCTTTCTATGTTTTTTTAGATCGAAAACACATATTTATATTGACTCTGCAAACTAAAACCAGTGACTTTGTATCTATATAAATGACAAAGGATAATTGTTCTCTGGCACTACGTACTAGATTGTCCATCTATGAATTTAACGTTTTTGGTACATATATGATTTTTGAGCTGTGAAAGTTTCCCTTGAGCGTTTTAATATCTTCTAAATAATTTACAAAAACTAGTCATTTTTCTGATTCCAAAATCATCTTCACCAACTGAGAATAATCTGTTGCAAAAATGACATAATATTAACGCAAATTCCTCATACTTTTCATTACCCAAATAAACGGTTCCACCTCATAATGGAGAGGCGAGAGACTAGCTCTAACATTTTTTGCTCCCATCAAACCAACAAAACTTTTGAGCATGCTATACCAATCTTGGCTAGAAAACATTTTCTTGTCTTTTCATGAACCATCTGTATTACACCAACGCCTTGGTATAGAAAGTATACTCATTAATTCTCCTTGTTGTGGTGCTCTCTGAGAATGTACCACTTGGGCTTTCTCCCAAAGAGTTGATTTTGTTTTTGCCAATGTAAGCGTGTCCCTAGGATCAATGTCCAAATTACTAAAAGTCTTGCTATTCTGTCATTTCCAAATATACCATAATATCCATGCGAATTGATGATCATCCATTTTAGGTAGAACTCGCCAAAATAAATGATTCATATTTGTGAAGAGAGAACCTATAGAGAAACTTGCCGAGTTAGAAGGAATCTTTGATAATACCCAGACTTGGCGTGCTGGAGGATATTCAAAGATCACATGGTTAACCGATTCTTCTGCAGCTCCACATCTGTCACAACATATTTCACAACGTATCCCTCGCGCTTGCAGATTTTCTTTACAGCCAAATAGCAATTTCCATAGGACATGTTTTATCTTGGGAGGACACCGTACTTTCTAGCAAAATGCTTTTAATAAATCTATTGTGGGTCCCTGAATTTTAGGCGATTTTTCTTTGTCCGGGTACATCTGTTCTACTAGGTATCTTGACTTCACCGTGTATTTTTCATTCTTGGTGAAATGCCATCCATCCATATCTTCCATTTGAATCCTATTAAGTGGTATACTTTCTATAATTTTTGCATCATGGGGATCTACTAGAGCTCGAATAGCCCGCATATTCCAACTTCATGCACGTATTAATATTGATGAGAGAATCCACAGTGAGTTTCGGATAAAAGATATGTTGATTTTTATTTGCTGATCTTAGGCGAGTGGTTGGGAGCCAGAAATCATTCCATACAAAGATAAATGATCCAGATCCCACCCTATTGATAAGTCATTTGCTAATCAGAGATCTAGCAGAGATCATACTCCTCCAGCCATATGACGAAGAATATGATGTAATCGATTGAAGAGGTGAAGCATTCCTATAGTATTAACCTTTAAAAAGACGAGAAAACGAAGTATTTGGTTTCTCTATTAGGTGCCACAATTGCTTGCCAAGCATTTCCGTGTTAAAATCCTCAAGATCTTTAAAACCTAATTCTCCTTCTTTCTTGTCTAGACACAAATTATCACATGATTTCAAGTGTATTCCTCTTGTACTTCCTCCAGAACTCCACCAAAATTGTGCTACTGTACTTGTTAGTTTCTTTTGTGGGATCCTAAGGTAGCCGATAGCAGGACATCACATGATTTGGTAAGGCCGTAACTTCAAATTTGATGATCACTTCTTTTTATCCCTTCGTGAAAAACCTAAAAATCCACCCATTGACCTTGTTATTTAATCGTTCCTGCAAGAATCCAAACACATGTATCTAGATCATCCCAAACTCTCTGATAGTCCCAGATACGATCTCATTCCTTCTATATTCTGAATTCCTATGATATCCCTTAACTATTATCTGTTTTCTTCCTCAATCATGTGTCCAAATTGAATTGTAAACTTCTGAAAATTTATCAATTGACCCAAAACAGTTTCATATTCCTTAAGTATCCTGAGAATGGTTTGACACTCCTCTAGTTGTGCCTTACAAAAGAAAAGACTCTCATCTGCAAAAAACAGATGGGAGATCGCTGGACACGCTCTGGTAACCTTCATCCTTGTTAATCGTTTTTGTCATTCTGCTTTTTTAATATTTGTAATTAACGCTTCAGAGCACAAAATTAATGAATAAGTAAGGAGACAAATGGTCCCCTTATCTTAAGCCTCTATGTGGAGTAATAAGTCCCCGAGGTTGACCATTTATCAAAACCTTGATACTGGACTGACGAGATGCATTCCATCATAAGCTTGATCTAATGAGGACCAAAACCATTTTGTGTAATAAAGCCTGAATAAAGTCTCATTCCTCCCTATCATATGCTTTGCTCATATCTATTTTAATTGCCATAAACTTTTTCTGGCAAGATTTATTGGTTCTTAAGTCATAGAACATTTCCTGAGTGATAAGAATATTATCTGAAATTTTCTCCCCGCCACAAATGCTGATTGGGTTTCCAAAATAAGTCAGGATAAGCAGCTTTTCCGCCGCTGACATAAGACCAGCGAGATAACCTTATATCCATCTTTACAAAGAATTATCGGTCCAAGTTCTGTCATCCTTGTGGGTCTCTCAGACTTAGGAATCATACAAATATGAGTAATGATTAAATGAGAATCAAGCACTCATGTAACCAACAAATTATTCACCATCTCTACCAAATCATGTTTAGTTATATGCCAAAAGTGCTGGAAAAAAGCGATGTCATTCCATCTGATCCTATCGCCTTCTCTAGATGCATCATGAATAACGCATGTTTAACCTCCTCCTCCGTCGCAGACCTTAGCAGTCTTTGATTCATTTGAATTCTGATATTTTTTGGAACCTCCTCCACGAAGTTATCAAACTCCAATTTCCAGCTTCATCGTGAATCCCCACAATTCTGATACGCACTCGCCTGTGTTTTCTTAAAGCATGATAAATTTTGTAAGGCTCTTCTGATGCCAGTAATCCTCTTCATCCTTATATGCATCTTGTAATTTTCTAGATACTTCCAAAATGTCCTTCTACAGCCTATTATTATTTCTTTGTACTTATTTGAGGGCACGTTGGAGATATTGAATTTTTCCTTTCAATATCGTGGGTTATTTTTACGCCACTTCGCTATTTCGTGCTGGAAATTACTAATTTTTGTGACCAGATCCACTGATTGACGATCATTATCTTCTGTCCAGCCAGACACAATTGATTCCATGAAGCCCTCCCTAGTTAATCCATCTCTTATCAAACCTAAATTATCCATCCTTTTAGAAACCTTATCCTCCATATATTCCACCGCTGGACGATGATCCGACCCAACCATCCCCAAATATTCTGTATAAGAGCATGAAGAAACTGTGTGCCATTTTTCGTTTGCTAATGCTCGGTTTAGTCGACATATCATCATCTCCACTACTTTCCCTTTGCGTCCTTGCCAAGACATCATTTTAGCTCGGCGTCCTTTCCACCACTGGATGATGATCCGACCCAACCATCTCCAAATATTGTATATAAGAGCATGAGAAAACTATGTGCCATTTTCATCTACTAATGCTCGGTCTAGTCGACATCTGATCATCTCTGCTTCTTTCCCTTTCCCTTGGCGGTCTTGCAAAGACATCTTGTTAGCTCGAGCGGGAAACTCAAGTAACCCACTATTCTAATAATGTTGTTAAAAGAAACAAAAGAACCCGCACTCCTTAAAGCTCCCTTTTCTTTTTTCATGATTTCCAGTAGTCTCATTTAAATCATCAGTAATAAACCAGGGTTCCGATCTTGCTAAACCAAATAGAGTTAATTGTTACTATAATTATTCCCTTAATTTTTGTATTCGATCCCCATACAAAAAGGTTAAAAAAAAAACCTTTTTCCCGAGCGCCACTGTTTCCAAATCAATCATTCGATTATCTGAATATAGAATCTTTATCCGATACTCATTGTTGTATAAAAAAAGCAAGTCCCCCGCTCCTGCCAAATGGGTCCATTGTAACCAAATTATCATATCCAAAGTATGATTGAAACCTTTGTACAAAATCAAAGTCTTGCTTTGTTTCCGATAAAAATAAAAAATCTGGTTTATGTTTATGCCATATTTCACAGAGATAGCTAATTGTCAATTTACTTCTCATTCCTCTACAACTCTAACTTAATACTCTCATTAAAAACTCGAAAAGATTTTCCGTAGAGCCATAATAAAAGAGTGTGATGAAACCCTAGCCTCTGCACATTCATATTGGTGTAAATTGGTTCATATCAATCTAATTAATGAAATCATATAACATAAAGAGTGGATTATGACTAATTTATTTATATTACCTTTAACATTAATTTGTCTATAAATAAATAACAATATTTTTATTCAATTTTTTTGCTTAGTGTAAGTTCAAAGATTTGTTTGATTTAATTTTTAATTTATCTATTTTATATTTTCTCAGAATCATTTTCTACTAAAAAATGTAAATAAAAATCTGTAATTGAATATAAGATATATAATAAAAAACATATAATTTGTTAAAGTATAGATCCT